CCCCTCACCATCCTGCGATCCCTGGCCACCCCGCGCCCCGCCGCCCCTCACCATCCTGCGGCCGGGCCCGGGCTCCGCGCCTCGCTGGCGGCGCCGTTGCTGGGGTAACGGCGGGACGGCGGAAGGCGGTGGCGAAGAGGAGCCGGCTGAAGAGCGGGACCGTCCCCAGGGTTCCGCCTCCGCTGCGGCCCCGTCGATCACAATAGGTGTCTCCCCGAACTCCGTGGCTCTTCCTCTCCTGGCCTTCGGTCCTTGGCCTGATCGTCCGGATCCCGCACTTGGATCACAACAGCCTCATGCACCGCTGCGGCCTTGGGACAGAGTGGCTGGAAAGCGGCCTGGTGGAAAAGGGCCTGGGGGTGCTGTTTGACAGCAGCTGAACATGAGCCAGCTGTGCCCAGGTGGCCAAGAAGGCCAGTGGCGTCCTGGCTTCGGTCAGATGAAGTGGCCAGTCCCTGTACACTCGTGAGGCCACACCTCGAATCCTGTGTGCAGTTTTGGGCGACAGGGACGACATTGAGGGAGCATATGAGGGAGCATTGAGGGAACGAAGCTGGAGCATGTCCAGAGGAAGGCAGTGGACGTGGTGAGGGATGTGAAGGACAAGTTTAATTGTCCCAAAATATGTTTTTTTACCTGGTGTGCAAGAGGCCAAACCACACAGAGTCAAGGTATTTTTTGTATTTACAATTCTGCACAGAAAGGGATGCTCTGTGGCAAATCCACAAAGCCAGCATGACAGCTACAAAACTTGTTTATACATTTTAGCAAACAAAGCCATTAAGTTGCATTATCTACATATTACATAATTCTCTTAGTAATCAGTATTCTGTCTCCTATTGGTTAATGACGCTCACTTTTCAAGCTAATTAGTCCACATGCTCTTTTTTCTTCTTTTGGATGGGTATCCGTGAGTCAGTTGTTGCGATTTACCTACTGCAAATTATCTTTTACCCAGCTGGGGCTGATTYACTACAGTTGCAAAATCGTCTTTCTTGGTTTCTTCCTTATCTTGGGGGTTCTGCCAAATGTCATAGTGGTGTATAAGTTTTGTTAGCYTCCATTTATGTCTGAGATAATTGAAACATGTCAAGCCCTAAATCTTAAAAAAGCAATTCTTCCAAAAAGTACTTTGTCTTTTTAACACCTGGATGTCACTTAGAGCTTGCTTGTTAGCTGCTCTCTCTTTTGTGAGGAAAATTAATCCACAAGTACTAGAGGTTTATGTCCAAAAAGGAGACAGAGGAGTCCCGCAACTTTATTCATGAATAAAGGGAGAGGTCATGGGCATTTCCCATGGGGTCTCTCAAATTCATAGAGGACGCAGCCTCTTTTTATCCTAATTTCCCGGCCGCAGTTCCCTCTGTCTTTCCCCATTGGCTGAGGTACTTGAGAGGTACAGGCTCCCCAAAACGCCTGATGAAACCCCCCCTACTCCTAGAAACAGTCTGTTTGTAAAGACACTCTTTTATCATTCTTTTCATTACCTTCACTATTCTTTTAGCCAGTAACATTATCTTGAGTCTGTGAGTTGTAAAATGATTAATGATCATGTTTATTTCCACACAGAATTGCTGGGAGAATGGGAATTGACTTACTCTGATGGCACCGAAGGGGTAGTCATGTACCCATGACTAAACACCAAGATAAGCATCAGAGAGTGCAATGAGTGTTTAAATAAAAAAATCAGAGAGTGGAATGTGAGGTCTAAAAAAGGAGAGGAAGGAGGGAAGGAAATAAGAAAAGGGAGAGAAAGCAAAAGCAAGATGTGGAAAAAAATCATCATCATCTAACCAAAGCAAGAGGTTAGACATGACCTTTGCATCTGCAACAATCATGTGTTTCAATTTCCACAATGTCTGGGTAAGATCATGTTCTTTCAGTAATGATGCTTCACCATGTTCTGCATCTTGCACCTTTGAAAATGCATCTGATTATACACAAAAGCGGGACCAATTAAATACTCCCCGCTACAGCTACAAAGGCAATCCCCTGAGATAAGAAAATGGGAAATAATCCCTTTGAAAGCAAGGAACTTGAAGAATACTTGCTTCTTTTTTTATGGTGTCAGCGATTTCTGAGCCTGAATCTATCCTGGATAGACTACCCCTGATAAGAAAAGCAGCAGTAAGTTGACAGATCATGCGAACCTTTGTCAGTCTCTATTGCCCAGCTCAGGAAGGCAAACAACAGCCATATCAGTTAAAGACCTCCAAAGAGTGACATGAAAGCTCGTAATTTTTGTCATTATTTGGGAAGGGGAAACTTTCTTTAGTTTTCACTCCTGTTTATGTCTGTGAATTGTATGGGTCTGTGGGAAATGCACCATCAGAATTTTTCTGGTATTTCCAGCACACACCTGTCGTCAAGATTCAGCCAATTTAATGAAAAAGCTTGTATTTGATTTTAGCATTATATTTAGGTAAGTTTTTAGAAGTTTAGGTATGTAGAACTAAAGGAGGGGAGGCAAGACAATCCACTGATCCAGCGTGAGTCATTGTCAGAACTGAAAATGCAATGCATGGTTAGCTGGGTCCACATAAACCTATCCAARCCAGAAAACCACATCACTGCAAGTGTGATGTCCCAAAGAATGCAGTTGTGCTGATTCAGGATGTGTGCTGATATATTTGCACAGTGTTCCACTGCCATCTGGATTTACAGGATCAATTGTGCACTAGCTTGAAAATCTCATAACTTCATCTCATCACATAGTATAAACATGTGCAATGTTTAATAAAAAGAGTTTAAGGAAACATAGGTATATGTCCAAGATATAAATTATTACATACTCAAGCCATTTACCTTTGTAAAGACAAACAGAACAGATGTTTGGCGATGTTTGCCTGTTAAGGATAGCTTACATTTGTCTCTTGGCAGAGCTGTATCCTGCTGAGTTTAGAACAAAGGCAAACACTTACACTGAAAAGATAAATATGTCCTGTGACTCTGGAAACAAAATCATGTAGTGAAAGAAAACTGTAGTTRAGAGGAAAGACTTCCTACTATTTATTTTTGTAGTATGTAAGTTAGGTGGATAAATAATATTCACATCAAAATGTGTATGTGTTGGGAAAGGGTTAAAAGGAAGAAGACTTTCTTAATTGAGCTAGATATTTATGACACATSACATATTTAGCTTCATTTTCTGATATGTGGCAACATAATAGATCAATGGGAAGATGGAGCCACCACCCAAGCTGCTGGTAATATGATGCAATTCCAATTACAACTTTTCTTATCCTTGTCTGTAGTTTTCCTTACTAGATTGGCAACTTCTCATGAGAACAGTCAATGCTTTGCAGTGTACTTTCATTCTAATCTATGTCAGCAATTAAATTATGGCARCAACCTGAACTCTCAATAACCCATGGGAATGGCAATATTATCAGGATCATTCTGTACTATCARGATCATGCATCACATGACCCACATATTTATATGCTGCTTTACAGGCTTGTTGCTCATCAGTTGTTGGTTCCAGTCCAAAAGAATAGTGTTTGTTAAGTCTTTCCTTATGTGTAGGAAATGGGGAAAAAAAAAAGAGTCCTGAAAGGTCAACATAGCTGCCATGCAGCTGCTATACATGTATACTGTATACTATATCCACGTATATAGTTGCTAGATATGTACACTACACAGCAAATTTACATTATTGTGTTCTAAGTCTAGATAGTAGAAGTATTGTAAAAATCATTATAAATTTTAAAATTAAAAATTAGAAATGGGAAAATATAGTTTCATGCCCTTGGTCTCCTCTCTAATACTGAAAGTTAAAGAAGACATCTTTATAMTCTCCACTTGAGACTTATAACTGACTGACATTAATTCAACACAGTGCTGTGGGTTTTTCTTTTCTATCTGTAGCCATATTTGTGGTTCCAGCCTCTAACAAAATTGAAAAAAGGGAAACTGAAACATTTCTACTTTATTTTTCTTCAACCTGATTTTCTAAATCTTTTTAAAGACAGGGTAAAAGCTGTTAAAGCCCAAATAATACCAAAATAATTTGGAATCAGACTTTGTGGGTAAAATTAGAAAACACATTGAAGTTTTTCAGCATTTATGCTGTTGGCTGAATATGATTGACTACTACAACATATAATRTCTCATGCATATTTAATATTAAAAATTCTGTATTTTCTGGAAACAGTGTTGACAACCTCACTTATTCAAAAACAAAGACATGGCCACTGAAATCGAGGAAATTCCTGAGTAAGTGAAAATTAAGAATATGGAGGGATCTGCTGTTATTTTATTTATATTGTCAATTTTTTTTTCTCTCCTTCACATTTCTCAATTCTGCAATGCTGGAGACTTGCAGCATCTCTTTTATTTTAATGGAACCTCATATTCTTGTGTAATATCAAAGTTCCTGGCACTGGAGAGCCATATAAATAAATAAGTAGAGATAGAGCCAAATAAAAAAATAATGTAATTGTGAAAAACATAAGCTGATCGTAACAACTATAATTAAATGACACAGAGAAATAATTGTAGCAAATATTCAGAAAAAATATCCATTTTAAAGGACACTGTCAAAAAATGTAATCCTGCAAAATAATGAAAGGAATGAGAAGGGAGTGTCTTTACAAACAGACTGATTCTSGGGGTAAGAGAAGGCTGATACTGGGAGATACAAGGAAAGGGAAGGATTTCCATAGGAATTCCTTTGATTGACTTATCCCAGGCTATGTTAATAGACTACAAGAGCAGAGATACAGATATGTATATTGAAAGGGAGCAATGTATGATAGAAGGGGGGTTTCATCAGGSGTTTTGGGGAGCCTGTACCTCTCAAGTACCTCAGCCAATGGGGAAAGAGAAAGGGAACTGCGTCCGGGAAATTGAGATAAAAAGAGGCTGCTTCCTCTATGAATTTGAGAGACCCCATGGGAAATGCCSAKGACCTCTCCCTTTATTCATGAATAAAGTTGCGGGACTCCTCTGTCTCCTTTTTGGACATAAACCTCTAGTGCTTATGGATTAATTTTCTTAACAATAAGATGATTGTAATACAATGCATGTTTCTTTGCCAAATAGTGGCTTGAAAAATGTTACATTGGTTTCCTTTAGTACCAAAGAAATAGAAGACAAGCTGACAATATGTTTGTGTTATCTTCAGACTTACTAGGACTACTGGTACCAAGTACTGCAAGTAGCAGTTTGACTAACTGCAGGCACTTGATAACCTTTACCTTATTCTTTGTCTCTTTTTAGAT